ACTTACATACGTACTTGGACATGCTGTCAGGAGGAATCAGTCCCTGGAGAAGGACATCATGCTTGGTAAAGTACAGGGTCCGCGAAAAAGAGGAAGACCCTGAACGAGATGGATTGACCCAGTGTCTGCAACAGTGGGCTCAAACATAGCAACAATTGCGAGAATGGTGCAGTGTTTCATTCTGTGGTACACGGCGTCTCTGTGAGTCAGAACCGACTTGACAGCACCTAAAACAAGAATACAGTAATCATAAATGAAAATGTAAAACCTAAAACTAAAACAAAAAATAGGAGAAAATCTTGTGATCTTGGATTAGGTAAAGCTCTTATATATGACAACAAAATCCATAAAAGAAGATATTTATAAATTTGGACTTAGTCAAAATTAAAAGCTTTTGCTCTGTGAAAGGTGCTGTTAAAGAATGAAAAGACAAGCCACAGCCTGGAAGAAAATACTTGGAAATCCCATATCCAGCAAAGGATATTCAGGATATTTAAAGAACTCTTGAAACTCAATAGTAAGAAAACATCCTGTCTTAGTTATCTAGTGTTGCTCTCTGTTAGAGATACCACAAGTGGATGGCTTTAATAAACAGAAATTTATTTTCTCACAGTTTAGGCTAGAAGACTGAGTTAAGAGCACTGGCTCTAGCGGAGGGCATTTTCTCTCTGTCTTCTCTGGAGGAAGGTTCTTTTCTCTTCAGCTTCTGCTTCCTGGTTCCTTGAAGATCTCCATGTGTCTTGGCATCTCTCTTCCCCACCTCTGCTTGCTGGCTTGCTTGTGTTAATCTCTTTTCTATCTGAAAAGAGATTGACTCAAGATATACCCTACACTAATCCTGCCTCTTAAAGTACCAATGACAACCCATTCCCAAATGAGATTATAACCACAGGCATAGAGGTTAGGATTTACAACACATATTTTTCAGGGACATAATTCAGTTCATAACACAACTCAGTAAAAACTGGACAAACTCTATACAGATGGCAAATAAGCACATAAAGAGAAGCTCAGTATCGTTAGGCATTAGGGAAATGCAAATTAAAACCAC